CTATTCGCTGCAGGTCGGCCAGTATCGCACCTTGAACACACAGCGGCGCAAATCTACATTCGACCCAGAAGTGATTGTTCATTAGCTGTTCCCTGCGTTGTTCAGGTATGATGGGGTTCTGGGGCACCCATGGGCGAAATTGAAGCGGGCGTCCATAGAACTTCAGATTTCGCATCTTAAGTAGGTTTTCCCTGTCAATCGGGTAGATTGTTACGACCGTTATTGTTCTTGTGTCTACGGTTTCGATGAGGAAATGATCCTGTACTGCTTGATCATCAGCTTTAACGACTCTCAATCAGCCATTCACCCATCGCAACTTGTCATTGACTGGATTGTTTGTTGATTCAATTGGGAATGTAATTTGTACTGCATTTTTTGCGTAGATCGTGTCCCTGTTTGCGAGGGCTTGCGGGGGGAAGATCGCATGGGGGCAAATGTACCTGTTTTTCTCAATAAATTTCCTCTGGGGGCGGACATGGAGTTTCTGTATGAAATGCGCTTTCATTAAACTCATGGCATCCAGAGCCAATGGATCTTCCTACGCCGCCTTGCCCGCGGCCGCCAAGGCCTTGAGCAGGGCTTGCGATTCTCTAGACCTGGGCGGTTCCTTGTCTAGTGCCACACTCTCGGGGCCCGTTTCGCCCAGATGGTTGTGTTGTCCTGTCGGGGACCCATAGAGGGATTGAGTGTCTGTCCTTTCGTGCCGGGGCACCGGTGAGCCAATCACTAACTTTGTCGCCCACGCGCCAGCTGGCTTCTGCCCTTCGGGGGTTCCTTTTCGAGGCGTCTGTGGGTTTGCCTGTTGTATGCTGGTGACTTGCTGGCCTCCTGGTGCCTGACCCCCATCCCCCATCTTTGGTTGGTAATAACGTAGCTGCCGCCCCTGTTTTTTGTTGAGCTGTGGTAAGCATTCAGTGGATAGGTCGTGGGCGCGGGGGGCGGGAGTAGAGGTGATAGTAATCCGAGCTGTACTGTGGTAAGCGTTAATGGTTAGGTCGTGGGTGGGGGGGAAGCGGGAGTAGAGGGGTTATCGAGGTAGATCCGGTTGTGATGATGCTGGGATCGGAGGTCAAGATATGGAGATGAGGGAGGTGAGACTGCCGGCCAAGTGGAATCTCACCTTCCGACTGCTGTCATGATCTCTCCGCATCGGCGCTCCGCTTCCCAGTGTACTTGCCAATCCCCTCTTCACCTCTCACGTCCCCCCTCAGACCGTCGACGGTTGTTCCTCCTCGTTATCTGCTTGGTCCCTTTCGACCCTCTTTCCACACTCACCTCCCGTCGCTCACGCCATCTTTGCACTTTCTTCTCCCGCCGTTCCCTCCCTCCTTGCTCGGCCCTGCCTCTAACGCTTCCCCGCGGTTATACTTTCCCTGACCACTCCCTCCGTCGCTGCCTCCCTGCGGGTCCTCTTTCGTTCCTACCGGTTTCTCGCTCTGCTTCACAATCACCTCCTTGCACCCTTGCCTATTCCTCCCCCCTCCACGTCTCCGCACTTGGTTGGCGAAGTCAATCCTAGATGCGCTCTCTCCTTTATTGTGTTGATAAGCTCCCGTCTCCTTGTCGACGTTGTCACCGAAGCATCCCGCGACAATGTCGTCGTTGTTACCGGAGCATGCCGCGTCAGTGCTCAAGGGCCGCCGATGTGCTCACCGTTGCCGCCTTCCACCTCCGTGGTCGAGTCATGGCAGCACGGCCCATCGCCTTCCTCGATGTCACCGAGGGAGTCAACTGGAGTGTGGCGGGGCCTTGCCCGCCGGTCCAGTTAGCGCACTTGCGCTTAGTGCTAACACAGTCTTCGGATATCGTAACTTGGAGGTCCCGGGTTCAACTCCGTACGCTTCATTTCCTTCTTTGCTAGAGGAAGGCAAAGCACGGTCGCCTCCCTCAAACACCCATTTGATAATAACCTGCCGCAGGCAACCAATGCCTATAGTATAGCCGAATATGCCTCGTCCTACTATCAAAGGCTCTTCACTTCAGAAGCCAATTGTCACCCTCCCCACATCCTGCAGACGGCACGGAACGCCCTTACAAATGTTATTCCATCAATGCTCACCTCAAAACAAAGGGAGGAGATGGAGCAACCTATTCGGGAAAGCGAGATGCTGCAGGCCCTTATGGATATGGATGATGACAAGACACCGGGCCTGGATTCCTTCCCTAAGGAGTTTTGGGTGCATTTTTGGGACACCTTCCAAGATGACTTCTGCCAATACGTGAATGCTGTCTTTAAGGAAGAGACCTTTGGGGGAATGATAGGGCAAGGGGTGACAACTCTGTTATACAAGAAAGGCGACAAGGAGGAGATACGTAATTACCGGCCAATCACCCTCCTCCCGGTACCCTATAAAACRGTGGCCAAGGTCTGGGCGAACAGACTCTTGCCTCACTTGCCAAACATCATTCATCCCGACCAGTCGGGATTTATGCCGCACAGAAATATCCAGGATAATATCCTGTTGGTCAATGAGACCATTAGATATGCGAGACAGAGATGGGTTGAAACTGCTATACTGTTTAGTGATTTCGAAAAAGCGTACGACCATGTCGACTGGGATTTTCTGGAGTTGTGCCTGCAGAAAATGAACGTTGGCCCCACATTCAGAAAATGGGTGAACATATTTCACCGCACAGCGACCACCAACATAATGATGAATGGACACCTCGCCCCTCCGATCCAGCTGCAGAGATCAGTTAGGCAAGGGGACCCCATTGCGCCGATGCTCTTT